ATAAGAATACGCGTCCAGGTGTTCGCGCTAATAAAAAAGTACCGAAACGATATCTGTTACATGTCACGCAGTAGATGTGACAGGTCAGCACCTAGCGTGACGTCACGGTCACGTGCTCCCCTCCTCCCGCGGTCCACTTGCCATGGAGTACCCCCTCCCCGCTCCTCCCTCGCCGTGGAGTACCCCCCGCCCCGCTGCCTCTTCGGAGCTCCATGGATTAGAACCGGCCTATATGTATACCCTACTTGCGTTATTTTTGTCCATTAAAGTTCAATGCCTCCTAGCGGCCAAGACAGACGTTTTAGGCGAAAAAACACTACGTTAAACAGTATTGAATAAAAATTGATTATTAACACCTATGTGAATACAAATCGATTATTAACACCTTTGTGAATTTTTTTACGTAGAGTCAATTAGCGCTATCAGATTTTGCGTAACTCACATTTTTAAACAAATTATTTAAACAATACTTGTTTAAATAATTGGAAAATCGTTTTTTATAAAAAAGTTTCTTTTGGTCAAATGCTTTCATCTCAATATTAACCTTTCTGCAATATCTATTGGTCTGCCCATAAACCTTAATAGGTTGGTAAGCGAATATTATAGCGTATATCATAGTTAAATATTAAATGCCTGTGTCCAGCAGAAGTTTGCGCTTGCTAAGCGCTTTGCGTTCATTGGATTATACTTTCAGATCTGTGCTGAAATAGAGCTATTCTTCTAGATCTATCCAATCAGCATAAAGCGCTTATTCTTAGCTAACTTCGGCAGAACACAGCCATTGTATAGTGTACATACACAGCGGAATAAAGAAACTTCTGTGATTATATTTAAATTTCCTCTGAAGCCGTCTTTTATTACGGGAAGACGTAAAACGTAATGCGTGAAAAATCGATCGCATGGACAGACGGAATAGCGCATATACCAAGATGTTTTTAATGAATTTTCGAAAATGGTTTTTCGAAACATTACTTTATCATACATGGTTGAATTTGTAAAAAAATAACTTTTTATTTGAAGATAAAAAAAATTCAAAATTTTGAAAAAATGTTTTGAGTGGTGGGGGTATTTCGAAAAATTAAATAAAATGAAAAAGTTTTTGTCTCCGTTTTATAATACTTCTAAAACTATTCAACTTATGTTTCAAATACTTTTCTCTATTTCTTTTATAGTTTCGGAGATATCGTTCCGAAAGAGAAAACTGATTTTTTACCAAGGGGTATTTCACCCCTTAAACATGCGTATGGGCACGTATAAAAAAATACGTGTCCCTTATTTTTGTCTAGAAAATAACATTGTCTAGAAAATAACATGCCGGGCGTCACGGATTGTAGGGAGGTCCCAGGTTCGAATCCTGGCTGGGGTAATATTTTTCGCAATAAGAATTTTAATTGCCAGACACGGTCGACAAAAATCACCGATGTTATGAATCTGGAGATATTCCCTTGTTAGACGTTTTTTTCTAAGTACGAATTTATCCTGGTTAATCTTGGCGATCAATATTGCAGTGAATTAAACGATATCTACCTTTTTCAGCTCTCACCAGCGACAGCTACGAAAGACACGCTGAATCTCTTTCCTTGGGTGCGAGCATGCAACGGCAGCACAGATTCAACTAGATTCTACTGCTTTTCTGCAGCCATTATAGAAGTGTGAGCTTGTAACGGCAACACAGATTCGGCGCGGTCTGACGACAAAATCATGGCGGCTCTTGAAAAGCAAAAGAGGAGAAGAGCCACTACAATCGTCGCAATATTTGCGAATCCGGTGAGATTCGGGCAAGGGAAAGCTTCTGAACGGAACATTCTCGTCCAATGGATCAGGGTATTTCTTTCGGTGTTCTGCTGAGCGGAATTACGTTCCTGCTCATAGAACTGATCCGACGGACGTATCAGAGGTCAGTTTCCCGCCCGTGCTTTTTCTTTGCCTTACGATTCTGTAATCTCCGACCGGTGGTGTCGGATTAGCCTTATGGTTCCGAGATCAGAATTTCAGTTAGATATTCAGACTTTTTCTTTCGTCTTACAGAAATACGTTATGGTTTTATCCTTTTCCTTTATTCATTGTGAGTCTGTAAGACAGGTCTCGGAACTAAGATTTTCTATTATTTGTCAATACTGGTTAAAAATACATTATTATCCTTTTTCTTTATTTATGTTTTTCTTTATTCATTGTGAGTACAAGAATAAATCGCTCTGTAACAATTCAGTGAATATTCTACCCATTCCTCTACGCTTAAAGATAAATAGCCTTTTAACACTGTGCTCTTCAAACTTTTTGTAAATAATTTTTTAACAAGCAACGAGCGACTGTTAAAATCTGTTGAAGGCTCAGGAGAATGATCTTGACAACATATGTCAAGGTCATTGGTGCTGTCTCCTCTTTTTTGTAATTTTACTCAGATTTTCCCAGATTTGAGTATAACGTTTTCAACACCAAGATTGTAGTTAACAAAATTTTTTAAATGATATCTAATTTAAAGTGAAACTTACAAAACGACACTTACAAAATGTATCAAATATAATTACGTACAAAGGTATTTTGTTAGAATGCTGTACATACCTTCATCATAGAGAAATACATCCACGAGTGCTCCAAGTGGAATATGATAAACATGGGTACATGTGCAAGGCTGTGTGCATGTAGACGGTGTATAACGGTCTCCACACATAAATTGATATCCATCATATTGTGAAATAAGAGGTGCTGGTGGATTTTGATACGATATGTTGGCGACCAAGCTATCTAAATGAGATCCGGTTGGAGAAACTAGAAGTTACACACAAGAAATTTTTGTTAAGATATAAAATAAAAATCAATCTAAATATTTAGGTTGATTAATTGCAGTCATTTTATTATACATATTGTGATGTATGAGTGCGCATGCGCGTTGTGAGATGGCGCCGGGAGCGACAAGGAACGCTAGAGCAGAGATGTACGGGACAGGAGAGAAATAAAGGAAGCGTGCGTTGTAAATCTACAAAAGATTGGTTATTACCGAGCCATCCGGATATCACATCTTGGCGACGAGGATTGAAAATGGAATACTAAATTCCACGAAACTAATATGGAAAGGGTAATAAGTGATAACCCAGGATGGAAAATATCAGTCCCGCTATGTCGCCGTTCAACCCGAACGAAGAGCAGTGCAACGTCTTTCCTAGATGGGAAAGATGGCTACGCGGCATCGAACTTTATATCACGAGCAAGAACATAACAGGCGCGGAAATAAAGAAAGCAGTTTTGCTACATGCCGGTGGTTTCGAGCTACAAGACTAATTTTCTACGCGATCCCGGACGCAGACACGGCCCCGCCAGCAGCCGCGGAGGGATCGAATGCAGAGGATGACGTATATACGAAGACAAAAAGAGTGCTGACAGAGCATTTTAAGCCGAAAACCAGTACGACATACGACAGACACATTTTCCGTAATTTAACACAGAAGGAAGGTGAACCATTCATTCAGTACGTTACGAGGTTAAGATAGCAAGCAAAGTATTGCAGATTTATGAAAGGATCAGTCGACGAGGAGATTAAAGATCAAATCGTCGAGAAATGTCGTTCATCTGAGGTGAGGAAAAGAATCCTGGAAAAGGGCGACATAACTCTACGCGAAGTGATGGAAATAGCTCAAGCAAGAGAGGCAACCTCAATTCAAGTTAAATCTATGGAGACAGAGGTAGTAGCGAAGCTCTCCAAAGCAAAGAAGAAATATGCAAAAAACCACCTAAACATTACAAGAGCGAGCGATGTTATCGTTGCAATTACAAGGGACATGTAGTTTCGGACGAGAAGTGCCCAGCCAGGGGAAAGGAGTGTACCAAGTGCAAACAAGAGGGTCACTTTGCATCGGTTTGCCAAACGAAAAATAAGCGAACGTCCACTCAGAAGAATGCAAGCAAGGCGAAGACCAGCACGGACAATGTACGGACTCTTGAGAAGACAGCCAACCTCAACTCAGAGGGGGACTACTCGTTCCTCCTAAGGGACAGCGACAGCGTAAATGCGGTAAAAGAAACGAGCGTCGACATAAAAGTAGGAGGGGTAAATTTAAAAATGTTAGTAGATTCGGGTGCGACCTGCAATGTAATCGATGAACCCACGTGGATTTCGTGTAAAGAACGCGGTATCGTGTGCGAAACGCGAAAATCTGAGAGAAGAATTATACCGTATGGTCAGATAAAACCGTTAGGATTATTGGGCGAATTTACTTGCAACGTCGAAATAGGAGGAAAGGAAACACGCGCCGGTTTTATAGTTATAAAGGGCGAAGCGCGTGCACTGTTGGGTTATGAAACGGCACATGAGTTGGGGGTTTTAAAAATCGATCCAGAGGCACGGTTAAATAACCTCGAAGTTCTAAATGAGGAAGAACGGCTATTCAACGGAATAATAAAGTTAAAAAGCTTCCAATTTAAACTGCCGATAGACCCGACATATCCCCCGTTACGTAGGATCTCTTTTAAGGTTAGAGACTGTGGTGGTAGGGTCCCAATAAATGTAATGCCTCTTCGTATATCTTAGAACCAGCTTCCTTTATTCTCGTCGCTCTCGTAACCTCTGTCTCGCCGCTACCATCATGGTTACCCCCCCCACGCTTCGCGTATGCTCACTTGCTTCGCCGGTACGCACGCGCTCACACAACATCTTTCCCTTTTTATAAAAGAATGTATTGTTCACGGCGATTTACTTAACAAACTCTTTCATCCACGACGGCGCTTTCTTGGTAAGAACCGGTCTCGGAGTTCTAATCGGTTCAACATTCGTTTCTTCCGCTTCTGCCTGAATCTCTTCACTACTTTAATAAAATTGCTTCTCATTCTTGTATGGCTGGATATACAAATTTCTTATGTGAAAAAGAGTCACCGTATGTTATTAATAACTTCTTAATTTTTACTTCTCAAAACCTAAATACTTTCACAAAATTCAAAATTTTCCAAAAATCGAATATAATAATTATCAATAACAGATTAAACTAAATTTTGCAATTCACCTTTCACTAAACACCTTTCAAGATATAAATATTTCACAACTTTGAGGTTACAAAATATCGCTTGAACTCTTTTCATAGATCAACAGAGTTACCAGCGACAAAAGTAATGACGGCCAATCATGTACCGAGAAATCCAGCGACGAGCGACGCGTGAAAAGGCACCTTAAGAGTCTGGCAAGAAATATTCTCCGTTTGATTGGTTTGACGCAAAATGGTGGAACCAATAAGGTGTCTCGAATCTGTACTCTGAACGCGGGATTATTATTATTATTATTATTTGGTTACCTTTGGTCTGTTCGTTATCGCTGCATTACTGCACTAGTGCAATTAACTACCTGCACTAGTGCAGTAATGCAGCGATAACGAACAGACCAGACGCCATTTTGCGTCTACCCTTGCCAGACTCTTACTACAGGGCTTGCGTTCGTTTTCTCCCACTGGGAGCATAAACTATGCTGAAACTCTATATATAGTTTACGTTACGTAAATTATAGACTTTCAGTATAGTTTATGCTCCCGGTGGGAGAAAACGAACGCAGGCAGGGACTCTAGCAGCGAGCGGCGAGCTTGAGTATACACTCACCGCTCGCCCCTCCCCGCGCGTCGTTCGTCGCTCGACGCTCGGCTCTCGTCCCTTGCCCCTCACCCCTCGTAGCAACGCTCTCAGTAGTTTTTGGCTTCGTTTCTTAAAAGTACATAATCTGTGCTTTACGTAGCTGTTGTAAAATGTACGTCTACACATTTCATAATAAAAATGTGTGATGGTAGAACCTCGTAATGTCTACAAAGTAAAAATTTTGGATTTAACAATTATATTTACCAAAGAATCTTTTGTAGTCTTGATTTTTTGTGTCAAATAGTATAGCCGGTTGTGCACTATAGTTGAAAAAATCAAACGAAAGAATAAGTAGTTCATCTGCTTTTTTATTTAATGGTACCTTTTCTTCGCCTGGCAGATATATCTTACTTAATTGGGATACACAAAGATCATTTCCACACTGTGTAGAATTCGGTGGATTAAACTGAAATGTTAAGAAAGTAAAATAAATTAATATTTTATTCTAAATATCACACTCTCGAGCACACGCACACGACACGCACACACATATCCGCGCACCTGAACGATCAAGTATGTGTATTTTAAGACAATTTAAGTCGGTACGCAATTCGAGATTTTAATACAGTTACAATAGGTGACGTTCGGGAAATAACATTAGACAGCTGTTTATTCCGTTACGATCAATATTATCACATGCCTCAGTGGCCGAATTGGTAAGACACCAGCCTAATGAGTAAGGACGTCCAGTTTTAAATCCTGATTGGAGGTAATATTTTTCGCAGTAAATTTATAATAAAATTATTGTGACACTAACGCAGTTACAGCTCTTAGCTTTCTTATTTCTTCTGATTTGTTTATAAAAACTATTATTTACTAAGGAAAGAGAGAAAACTAAGGAAAAAGATTAATTACACAGCCCCGCAAAAAAAGTTATCTGAGCCTAAGACCAGAAAAGTGTATTCTTGTGTATTTTGATCTGCTGAATCTGAATCCGAAATCAGAATTGAATAATTACTAGATATATCGTCCCTACCCTAGCGGAAAAAATGTCTGTAAATAACTACAAAAAATTGACTTGAAGCAGAAATTTGTAGAAATTTTTGTATCTTCGTTGAAACATTTACTTTTTTGTAAAAATATCTACGAAATAGAACCACAAATTAGAAGAGTGAGGTGGTAGGAGAGTGGGAAAAGGAAAGAGAGGAGTTCTATAAAGAAAAAAGTTGGGAAATAGAGGAGATAGAAAGGATGAGGGAGAAGGGAGAGATGAGGGGTGAGGAGGTAGTGAGAAGGGAGAAGAGATAGCAGGAGGAAGAAAGATGGAGGAAAATAAAGAAGGCGAGGGGGAATATATGGTACAAGAAGATAAAAGGAAAAGGGATACCAGAATACTTAAAGAAAGGGTGGAAGGAAGAAAGATGGCACAGGATAGGGAGATTTAGATTAGGGGAGGAAATGAGAGGTAATAGATATTGGGAGAAAGAGGAGAAAAGGAGGTGTAGGGTTTGCGGATGGAAGGAGAAGACACATGGGAACATGTTTGGGAGGAATGTACGGGGGAGCGAGAAGGGATGGCAGGAGATGGTAGAGGAGGTATTGGGGGAAGGAGGAGAGGGAGAAGAATTGTTATTAAAAATAGTAGAGTGGAGGGAAGGAAAGGAGGCGGAAGGAATGAATGAGGAAGAAAAAGAAAGAATGAAGGATGCGGCGGAAACGGAGGTCCAGCGGATGAATGAGGATGGATGAATGTATCTCTCTCTCTCTCTCAAGCGAATGAAAATAGGTTAAGAAAATTTCCTCAATAAAACACGAAAAATAGCGTCAATGGCGTGTTTCACATCACCCCACTAAAAGTGTTTCACAACACCCCACTAGCTGTCATTTAATATGAATTTACTACTAAATCAGCACGATGTAAGAAAATGCAAACTCATTTCAGATTCTGAAAGATATTGAAGAAACCAACACTTACATTGTAATAACCTTATAATGTGATGAATAATTTGTCTAAAAATATGATTTTTGTGATCACCGAAAATAATTAAAAAAAATTTTTTTCACGTGTTCCAACGAGAATCGAAATATACCTACGTCTGAATACTCTAGTGACTTTTAAAAATGAGGTGGTATGAAAAAAAACAGATGACATATGTCATATTAATCATATGTCACGTAAGGTGCGAGAAATCGCCGTGTTTCACATCACCCCATGTTTCACATCACCCCACTTCACTCTATTATCTATATTGTCCCCTTGTTAGGCCCAGACAACTTTTTTGTGGGGTTGTGTTATTTATTATGTAATTTATCACAGGTGTAAAATTGCAATTTTTTCTATATTTGATATTTGTTTAATATTGTACTCACAACATTATTAGAAGAGCCAAAAAAGTATCCTGGAGTTGATGATAGTGATAAGTTAGAACTGCCCTCATAAGCGAGAATGGCTAATTGATATATTTGTCTTTCTTGACATTCCCCAAGTCCACGTACATGTAACCAATAATAGCCTGGAGTTTGATTTGCATTCAGGACAAAATCAACACGTTCACCTATACACAAATTATACATTTTTTATATTCCATTTTATTTATCCGGAGTGAGCTACAAAACTATACTATTTTCGTATAATTATGTATAATTATGTATAGAATTCATACAGTATGTTTTATAATTATAGAACTAGTATGATTTTTTACGGCTCTGGAATTGGGTACCAAGTACAATAAAATTTAATTTAGCCTATCCTGACGGTAATCGTTGCTACTGGAGGGTTCTACGAAAATAATCAATGTATTCTTCGAAGATAAATTTTAGCGCTGGCAGCTCAATGGTGCAAGAAGCTTTGTGCACTAATAAAATGCTTAAATTGAAATTTTTTTAACAAAAATGAATTCCACAGAGTAGATCAGTGTGTTGGAGCAACATTCGCTACCGTTCATATTATAAAGGGTGTCTGACGTAAGAGTACCTCTACGAAAAATGATGGTAGATTGAGTCAAACTAATTGTAAGAAGAAAAGTCATGTACCATTATACAAAATTCGCAATAGTTATTGTTCGAGATCGGACATTTCATGCGCTATGCGTCTATTATTTCTCTCAAGCTATCGATGATTTTAAGTGTACAGCACGGGCCTCAAGAAAGTTTGAGAAAGACGCTTAGTTCTGCGAATTGTTATCACGTTTATTATTCTCTTTGTCTTGAGAACACCGAGAAAGCCCGTGCTGTACACTTTTTAAAACAATAATTCCTTCCAAACATTGTGACACGCTCGCGTCTTCGCAACGACGGCGAACGCGTGTCAACAACCATCGCCGGCAACTAACAAACTCTACCGCCAATCGCGTCTATCGCAGCGCGAGCGCACCTGTAGGGCGCGCGTCAGCGCACGCGGTGACGCTCGATTGTTAATCAATCTTGGCAATCGAGGGTCACCTTAAAACTTTGAATAAGTTGAGGGTTGATTGGTGCCCCACCGAAAGGGGGGTGAAATTCGGACTCGAATAAATGAACCTGCCGCATCCCGTTTTGAACAGAGCCGCTCTTATCGCGTGTTTCACCGCTCCGACCAAAGTTTGCTTGCGTCTTTCTGAACGTTACTTTCCCAGACAGCACGAATCCACACAGATATGTATCAGAAACCTAACCGTTAGTTTAAAAAAAAAATTGACACTATTACAGATATGTGTCGGTTGTCGATCTGACATGTATCAGATAGTTAACAAATTGCTATCGATGGCCGTTTTACCTTGATTTCAGAATGGTAACAAATACGTACCACTGTAACGTAAAAGAAAGGTAAATGAAACTTAACAGATGTATATTTGGTAGGTAACTGAAATACTGCTGTTTGATATCAAATACCTAAATGAAACATGTGTGTATGTATACCCAGCAAACACAAAGTAACAGTTACATAACTGTAAGTTAAAATTTCCTACTCAACAATATAACTGTTACATAACACACGTGTTATATAGGCAAGCGTCTCGGAAGCGGTTTTGCCCAGGTGAAAGCAAAATTTAATCGCGTAGCGCCGCTCCAGCGAACGCTCCATTTTTGACGTTTTCTGCCGTGACAAGAACTCAAAAACAGCTTTTGCGCCACGCGTAATTCTCACTGCATCTGAGCTCGGACGCGACTGCCGCCCGGTGCGTTGTTTAGCTTAGACCCCCCACTACAAATCCCGCCTCCAGGGGGCGCGCTGCTAGCGACTGGAGCGCCGCGCGGCGGCCAGTCTCATTACTTAATTTACAGACCTCGTATGTAAAAAATTAAAAGTGACCTTTATATAACCTTCAAATAACTCTTTAAGGTCAAACCAATGGTATGTACCATCTTATGGCCCCCTCGAAACCATATAACTTTTATCTGAAACATTGTTGTCTTCAACATATAGATTTTGAGATATTTCAGTGGATACATGAAAATGGCCTACTCGGGCGTATCTCGTTTGGACACGTAACGATTGGACACCGCTCGATTGGACACGCACTATTGGACACACATTATTGGACACCGAAATCATTGGACACAAGCATTATTGGACACCGCATTATCGGACACAAGCATTATTGGACACCGCATTATTGGATACCGTATTATTGGACACTGCATTTTTGGACACCGCATTTTTGTACACCGCATTATTGGACACAAGCATTGCAAGTTTGGACACTGCATTTTCGGACACCGCATTTTTGGACACCGCATTTTTGGACACCGCATTTTTGGACACCGCATTTTTGGACACCGCATTTTTGTACACCGCATTATTGAACACAAGCATTGCAAGATTGGACACTGCATTGGGGTTGTCCCGATTGCGCACATAACCGATCGGACACGGCAATATTTCCCGATCGGACACGGACTCGATCGGACACTAATGGGTTTTCAAGTATTTATAACATGAAATTTAAGGCAAACTGTGACTCTAGATGGGTCGGGATATTTATATATATTTAACCCGGGTTAACTGTTCTGTAAAGCAGATAATTTTCCATCATTTGTAAGTCCATACACCCACAAGAATATTGTGCTTTACAGAAATACGCAAACCCGATACAAAATGTGTCCGATCGGGCCTGTGTCCGATCGAGTCCGTGTCCGATCGGGCCTGTGTCCGATCGAGCCTGTGTCCGATTGAGAAATATTGCCATGATCGGTTATGTGTGCAATCAGGACAATCCCAATGCAGTGTCCAATCTTGCAATGCTTGTGTTCAATAATGCGGTGTACAAAAATGCGGTGTCCAAAAATGCGGTGTCCAATAATGCGGTGTCCAATAATGCGGTGTCCAATAATGCGGTGTCCAATAATGCGGTGTCCAATAATGCGGTGTCCGAAAATGCAGTGTCCAATCTTGCAATGCTTGTGTCCAATAATGCGGTGTACAAAAATGCGGTGTCCAATAATGCAGTGTCCAATAATGCGGTGTCCAATAATGCGGTGTCCAATAATGCTTGTGTCCGATAATGCAGTATCCAATAATGCTTGTGTCCAATAATGCGATGTCCAATGATTTTGGTGTCCAATAATGCGTGTCCAATAGTGCGTGTCCAATCGAGCGGTGTCCAATCGTTACGTGTCCAATAGAAGGTCACCCGCTTCCTCCAACGGTCACCGATGTATGCGTAGTGGCTGTGGGCTTCTCAAGGTCGGTCTTCATCATCAAGAGATGTATTCAATAGGAGTATGTTCGTATACCTTCGAACAAAGATCATTCGCGAGCTTAACCTCATTCGGTCATATGTCGCGACTTAACTTGTCGCGCAGCGGTAGCGCTCTGGGCCCATAACCTGAAGAATCCCAAGGAGAACAAAAAAGTCAAAATGATGTCAAAATGATGTCAAAATATAATCAAATTTTAGTTCGTCAAAATGATGTCAAGTTGCATAAATTTTTTATGCTTTCTTGATGTCAAAATCGTGACATAATTTTGACATTAGTTTGACTATTCGATAATATGATACCCAGATAGAACATAAAACTCATAATGACGTCATTATGACTATCACAATTTTATTTATCACATAAAAGTTATCTGGACATATCTAGAAAACTTTTAAATGTTGAATAAAATCATGATAATGTCATAATGACGTCTTTATGAATTTTATGTTCTACCTGGAATAGAGACATGTAGATAGTAATATATAAACGTTATATTTGACTGCTTATGACATATTTATTACAATCATTACATCAATCACAAACATTAGTATATCAGAATTTTATCACATTTAAAATTATGAAACGTCTGATATTGCGATACATAATTTCTACGTTGACTTTTATTATTAACGATAGATATGAGATTAGATATAACTTGTGCAAAGTTTATAAGTCAATATTATACGCAAATTATATGTATACGTTACTGTAAACAGCATAGAATTTAAGGTATCACCTCTTATTGTTCCACGCTGCATCAAAGATGGCAGGATGTTCTCATACAATGGAACGCCGGTGATGTGATTAAAAGCTTTTATTTATCGTTAATAAAATTCGTGAATAAAAGTTAACGTAGAAATTATGTGTCGCAATATCAGACGTTTCATAATTTTAAATGTGATAAAATTCTGATATACTAATGTTTGTGATAATAGTTGTGATTGATGTAATGATTGTAATAAATATGTCATAAGCAGTCAAATATAACGTTTATATATTACTATATTACTATCTACATGTCTCTATTCCAGGTAGAACATAAAATTCATAAAGACGTCATTATGACATTATCATGATTTTATTCAACATTTAAAAGTTTTCTAGATATGTCCAGATAACTTTTATGTGATAAATAAAATTGTGATAGTCATAATGACGTCATTATGAGTTTTATGTTCTATCTGGGTTGGGATTATTGTTAGTCAAATCAAGACCTTTTTATGACTACTTTTTATATTATACAATTTTATAATAATAAGCAGTTATACAGTCAAGAAACGTATCACATTTTCTAAATATTAAGAAAAAAAAATTTTTTTAAGAAGTCAATATAAAGTCATTTTTAAGTCATCTGAAATTAAGATTTTTAATCATGACCAAAAAATGATGTAAATTTGGTCAATTTGATGTCAAATTGACATTATTTTGACTTTTCTGTTCTCCTTGGGATGCTTACCTTCGTATTCAAGAGTGAGGGAACAGCGAATTAATTTTGCCTTGCAACGTTCTCAATATACAGGGTGGGGAAAAAAGTCCCGGACCAGTCAAATTTTTCGAAAACAAAGCATTTTGAAAAAA